GGAGTATGGAGCCAATACATGATTTTCTGAACATCTGAGGCCGAATAATAGTGACAAAAATTTGGAAGAGCTAAGCCACCTTGGCTTTTAGGCCTCTGTAACAGTTCTAACCGTATTCTTGGCTTCTTCCCATCCCATATAAATAAAATTAAAGCCTTATCAATAGATTTAAAAAAGGATTTAGGGAGATAAACTGGGATACATTGAAACAGGTTAAGAAACCTAGGGAGCACGTTCATTTTGATACAGTTCACTTTCCCTGCTAAGGATAGGTGAAGTAGTTTCTAATCCCTGGTTTTTGTTTAAATAGCAAATGTGAAAATAATTTTTTCTTTATATAGTTTTTCTTCTGGCCTTAAAGGTTCAGCATGTATGATTTAAGGGGATATACTGGCAACAATGGAACATAATGTAAGAAGTATTGATACGTTTTCTTAAGTGTCTAACCATCTGAAAATAGGCTGTAGATAGCAGCCCTCTATGACAGCCAAACAGCATTGGAAAAACAATGATTTATAAAGCACAATTGCTTTATCCATTGTTTTTACTGGTTGTAATCACTTTGTCCATTTGTTTTGGAGAGGAAGAGACCTCTGCAGATGATTCAGCTCCCAGTAAAAACCTCTTAAACCATGAAAACTGAAGGAATCCTAACCTGGAAAAGTTTCAGCTATTGCAGTCAGCAGTACTAACCACTGATGTCACTAAATCCCCATAAATCTTGCACACTGCTCCTTTAATAAAACCAATATGAGGAAAAGTATTGATGTGACCCCCATCCAGAACTATCGTGTCATTTCTGTAGAGGATTTCTGAAACATATTATCAGTTTGAAATCATGTTTAAGGGCAATCAGCCTGATATTAGGACACGTTAATTCATTAATGTACACCTTATTTTTACATTTAGACATGTTGAATTTAAAAACTGAATTCCTTAGCCTAATGTAGCTCTTCATAGATGACATACCAGTGTTTAAATAGCTGCTCAAAGTCATTGCATTCTTTTAATATTAACAAAAGAATGCAAGTGACAAGCTGTACACAGGCTTCACACACGAAACCTCTGATGATCCTCTGCAAGAGTATAACATTAAACTTTAAGCAAAATTTAACACTTAATTTTTCAACCCTGGTCAACACGAGTTCAAGAGTTCTGTTTCGATCATTCACTAAAAACACTCATGCTGTATGTAAATGACCACCTTGTAACAAAAGGGAACAGAAACCAACCATGATGAGTTCATGTTCCTTTTCAACTCTGACCCGCAAAGTAAAGCTAACCACAAACCATATATGTCATGAGACTGAGACCAAAAGTTTCATCACTGCATCATCGCACAATAATCTTACATCAAATATACAAAAATATACAGTAGATCACCATTGCTGATTGTCCATAAAAAATTTTTGCGGTATAATCGACCATGATCAATTCATTAACAGATTCTTTGGTAATATTTACAGTGTTGGGAGGCCACAGACATGTAGTGTCTAAACAAAGCTGGAAGGAATACTACACAGGAAAGTACAGAGACACAGCAATAGAAACTCCATACTTCTCTCCCTCAGAACCTGGTGGACACAAAGCAAACATTAGGCACAGACCAAACAGTTCTTGGGGAGATTTTGGGCCCAACAAATGTTTCAATCTAACTTCTCAGTACAAAAAGATTAAATGACTAAAAGAAAGCAATTCTTTTAAAACTAATAAAGTGACATTTGTGACAACAGTTTTCAGTTTTTAGTAAATATCCTGTCTGTTACTATGCCTTACAAAACTATTATCATTTTCTTAGACTGCAGTTTGTCTGTGTATGCATTATGTTGCTCTGCCCAACCACTTTTGCAATTTGTGTGGGTAATACATCTCCAGTTGCTGCACCACCTAACACTGAATAGGAACAGGTCTTGAGGAATCCAGTCCTTTGTCTGTCTAGTTGAACCGAGTCTGATTTTCAGGCATGCTCATGTTTCTTTTCATCTTAAATATCACCCCCATTATTGTCTTATCATATATCTGTCATATTATCAGCCTCCCAAACATGACATCCATCTTTGACCTGACTGGCATATTATAATATTCTTCCCTTCCCTGGTTTCACCTTGTGTTTCAGAGAAGATTTAAGGATGAACGGTATCCTCGACCATGCTAGGTTTGTTACATCCTCACTAAATGTAATTGCCTACCTAGCCTAATCTTGTGTGGTTTATTTTGTTACAGTACATTCGTCATAAATCATGTTGACTGCTGTCTGTGATGTCTTTTTGGACAGAGTTGTCTGTGGCTTTCATTAAACCTGACGTACAATTGAAGATTGTCAAACCTGTTTTAGAGGTGACACATGCTACTAAAGTCAGATTGTCATGTGACATCACTGTGATGTTACAAGGATAATAACATCTTATGATAGTATAGAAGCCATCATAACTATAGTTCCTTGATCAAATAAAATGTTGCAGAAGAGGTGCCCAAGATTTCTGATATTTAAACTTAAGATTTTAAGCTGTTCAAACGTCAGGCAATCAAAAGATTAAACAAACAGAGAGAGCTGAAACAGAAACAAAACTTGGAAATAACATGATGCAACGTGGCAATGTAGTAATCAACATATTTTTCTCATGTATGGCATGCACTTTTTACAACACGTGGCTCTGACGACATGTTGTTTACTCTGATGGACTTTCACCTCTTTGTCTGACAAGCAGCAGAAGTGATTGTCATAATTCCCACAATACAGTCGGATGTTTCCAGATCACATCAGGAATTTATTGACATCATTAACTGGAATGTGAAAGCACCTCACACAAACACACACACAGTTACATCACGCCAGATGGGAATTCAAAAGCAAACCTCCATTCCCATCCCAGTCAAAAATATTCCAGTCTCATCTCTTCCTTCTACATGTCTATAGCATGACACAACGTAGGCCTATAGTTGCCTCTTTCTCATCAACAGAGGACTTAAAGACTTGTTAGAAAAGCTAAAGTAAACAGTCGAATAGCAAAGAATACGATTGGACAAATACAAAATATGTTCTAAATAATATTAGAGACTTTACTGTCCATTAATGAATGTAATAGCATCATAATGATGGTTGTTTTTCATGAGAGGTGTCTGTGAAAAAAATAAGTTATTCTGTTTCATTGTGAATTTTTGTGGGTCATGTCGTAAATGGTGTATTTTAATATGTTGTTATTTTGTACAGCTGCTTCCTTGGCCATGTCTCTCTTGTAAGAGAGATTTTTTAACTCATTGAGACCCCCTTGTAAAATAAACGTGAAATAATAAAAATATATAAACTATTAGTGTTAATGATGTTGTCTGGTGTTGTTGCTTTGTTAGTGAAAAGCATAGAAGTAGGCTATTATAACATTTCTGAAGACCAGACAAACACTAATGAATATAGTGGGGGGGGAAAGTGGGACTGACTACCCAAGGCCCCAATGGGAGGGGAGCACTTAAAAAGCCTGGAATGAGGGATCTATGTTTTGTTTTTATTTTGGCTTAGGGAAGGGTCATACATATTTAAATGATTGTATTTTGTATTTATTTTACCGCAGATTTTTAAAGAAAACATGGCCTCTAAATTACACCATTAAGCATAGCCAGAAAATGTAAAATCAGAAATTATCATTTGATTTTCAAAATTCCATTGATCCTTGGACACATGATAGTTCATCAAAATCATTTTATTCTACGTCTCGTTTAAAATTTGGCCAAAAATCCACCATTTGTACAAACTAACCAGCGTGTGCGGCAAGAGAAAGAGAAACATTTTTTTCAGTTCCAGGATTTTGTCTTTTGAACATCAAGGGGTACTCAGGGAAGCTCAAGGGAAACTATTTGTAACTTTGGGAAGGGTAAAGAAAAAAGAAAAAAAGTCATACTCAAGCCAACTCTGATAAGTAAAGAACAGTCCCTAAAAGGTTGCAAAATGGTTTAGTCATCTCTTGCACCAGGGTTAGTCTCTAAACACAGCTAGAGCCAAGTGGCTGACGGCTTATGCTGCTGGGGCACCAAGATACACTGTCATGTCTTTCCCCAACAAAGGGAAATGTGGGTTCCAAAAAAGAAAAGAAAGAAAGGAAGGAAGGTGACCTTGGGTGACTTGAAAGGCGCCTCCAAATAAAATGTATTATTATTATCATTATTATTATTATTATTATTATTATTATTATTATTGTTATTATGGGCAGGGGGCCCACAGGACTGCTGAAGCATAGGGCCCAGAGTTTGGTGTTACACCCCTGGTTGTAGGCTGCTCTCAGACTAATATCACAGTATGGTCCCCTGGAAGGAACAATAAGGGAAATATTAAAAGTCTGGATGGGAGAAAAAAAATCTTTGTCTTATAACGTTAGTTTACAAAAAAAATAAAGTTGTGTCATTTGTTTTTTAATTGTGCACACAATAATGAAAATGTTAGACTGCATGCTTACAGGTCACGAGCAGTGTTTTGTCATAGTCTCGAAGTTTTATGAGGATGTCGCTTCTTTCTTACAGTTTACAAGTTAAATAATAGTATGAGTGTTTGAGTATTCTTATACTAAAATTGTGCTGTTAAATTTACAGCGTCAAGTTATCATTTGTAGGAAATACCTTTTTATTCTGAAGGATTCAGGCCGGAAGTCGTATTGCTGATGCTGCAGGTGGGCACGCGAGCAATTAACGACCCCGTGTATTTCCTGGGACAGCGTCAAACTTTTCTGGGCAGTGAGCACGACAGTAGGTCCTATTTCGGTCTCTTTTATTCTTTAAAATAATTTCCTCCAATAAAAATCAACCAGTATGATACTGCTACCATCTTTTTTGATTATTTTCCATTTCATAATTGTGATATTAACTTTTAAATTAGGTGACGTCGTGCACATAATCTGACATAATACCATGATACAGTTAATTAGGCTAACGTTACTACTAAATAAGCTAACGTTAGAGACATAGCTCAGCTTTGCTGGTTTGCACCGTTGTATTTTTTCGCAAGAGAAGTGAAATGTAACACTCTGAAATAGTGCATGACGGGTGATGAAATAAAAAGCCTAATGTAATGTAATGGGGACATTTTAAGAAGCTATGGGTAAACGCCTGACATTAAAGAGGCACTGACCGCAGCTCGTGTTATGTGTCAACTCATCCGCAGGTGCCAGTGTAGCTAAAGGACCAAACTGAAAATGAAATAAGAGACATGCCAGCCTGAAAGTAAACAGGCACTGCGCACACGGTGGTTACAGCTAGCGAACAGTGTTAAAATGAAAGGAAACAAATACCCAAGAACACCCCGAAATAATTTTCATTTTACAAACAAAAGGTCGTAAAAACAAAGATGATGGAAGTCAGTCAAAGGTGGCGGAGTACCTCTGATTATGCAGTCGCCTGGAAAGCGAAGTTCCTCTGGACTTTTCTTTGCTTTTGGCCGATCATGGGAAAGTTTGTCATCAGGTCACTCACATAAAAGTTGAACAGGATCGCAGAACAGGAGAGATGAATGCCAAGGTAAGATGACTAGACTGATCTGTTCAGTTCTTTCTTGTTTAACTCTATATCAGGTTATTATTGTTATGCGTTTTAAAGATATAAGAGTCCATTATAACAGCGAGGAAGTGAACAATAGAACAGATAGACTGTTAATGTAAATAAAATGTAAAAATAATGTACAATTAATAATGGTTATTGATTAAATTTGATCTGGATGTTTTCTGCATAACAAAAAAATGTTGTCAGTATCATGAAATCATTTCCTGATTATTTTATGTACATGCAGCTATTTCATTAACTTTGTCCACATGGATAAAAACGTAGCTAGTGGCTCTGTGTTACTTTGTTAATAGTGAGTTTAAAATGTGTCTTGATGTTGACTTCATTAATGCAAATTAGTGTGATTTTGTAATGACTGAGATTGAGGCATCATAACTGTTCTCTGTGGTGTAAGCCTGCAGTTTTGGTTATTGAGATGTTGCGTTCTTTTCCTTTTATTTTGGTTTTATGTACTAATTTACTGTTATTCAGATAGTTTACATGTTTTTGTGTTGTCATATTAATGGACTTAAATTATAACATTTACTAATTGCAATATCAGTTAATGGCTTTTTGTGTCATTAACTTGAGACTTGAAATCTCTTTTGGCTTGTGCATTCAAGAGTTATCTGTACTGATTTTGCTCATTTGTTATTTCCCTCAATCTCTCTGTCTGTCACCACCTCACTTTCTCTCTCTCTTTCTCTCTTTCTCCCTCTCTCTCTCTCTCCCTCTCTCTCGTCTTCTCTTTGTTATTCAGATGAAGTTGTTTATTGTCGGTATCATCTGTGCATTATGGCAAGTCAGTCATCAAAATCCAATGGGCCACTGGACTCTGATGCCCCACAGTATGTTTGATCTCTATGAAAACACATCACTCACTTCAGGTTTAAATAATTCTTCCTTAACCTCTTTAAATCTCTGTGTGTCCTCTGTTAGTTTTGGTCGTGGAGGTGGATGGCACTTTGGGCCAGCAGCCACTGAGCTGCCTGGAGTTTCCAGAGGATCTTACGGGAAGAGGTGGCATGAATGAGGATATTTTTTGGAGGAGGAACGGAGTGGAGGAAGAACAGACAGGAAACACATATCTGCTGCAGCTGGAGGAAAGCTTAGGAGGGGGAAACTACACCTGCCACCGCAAGGATGGATCGCTCCTCAATTACACTGTAGTCCTGATCCAAGAGGAAGAGACTAACAGGAGGAGGATCCTTGTGAAAAACGGCCAAGGTAGAGTCTAATTTAAAATAGAGCAGCTTGAATTAAGCACATTTAAATTTTTTTAGCTGATAGTTTGTCTCTTGTTTGTTTATTGTCTTCCATCTCTGCTTGTTTATGTTATTTTTCTCATTAGAAGATTATTTAGAGTGCTCTGCCCAAAATTACAACGGAGAGTTCCACTGCTCTTGGACCTGGCACAGCAGTCGCGTAGGCAAAGTGGCATTTATCAAAGCTCGACGGTAAGCTTCCAAACTGCTGAAATGTTTTCTGTTTCGCTCTCCAATAATAACACACTGTTCAGACTCATGTCAAAGCTGAGACTACACAGTGACATCTATAAATACCTCCTTATGTAAGGAAACAAATTTAGGATCAAGGTCACGTCATGGAATCAGCTCTCAGATAAAAAATAATACAGCTGTAAATGTTCCAGAATGATCTATGTTTTGCATCTATAATACTTATCAGTAACTGCTCTTCACCTGTTTGTCTTTGAAAAGTTGTCACATCTTCTTGGCATGAAAATCAAAGCCAAAATGATAAAAACCAGTGTGTGTTCTGAATTGAGAAAAAACATATTTTTTACACTATTTTATGCAGTGTGACTGACGACAGTGGCACCCAGTGTTCTGTGGATGCCAGCGGTCAAGATTGGACATGCTCTTCGGGTCAGAGTAACTTCAGATGTTCAGTGGACGACAGCGGACACAGGATCTTGTGCGTAGACGAGCAGCACTGCCCCTATGCTGAGGAGACCCAGCATATTCACATCAATGTCTACGTGACGACGGAGCATTTCCTGGTGGAGAACTACTCGAAACATTTTTACCTGTCAGAGATCTGTGAGTTTTTATTTTTCTGCACATAAGACACTGCTCTTTTTCATCTGATTGTATCCTATCTTTGTTTTAATCTTTTGCTTTCACCCTCGATAGTGAAACCCGATAAGGTGAATATCAGTAAAGTCAACACCACGGTGATAGAGTGGAGTTACCCGAGCTCTTGGAGCAGTCCCTACTCCTACTTCCCCCTCACTTTCCAGATTGCACAGCTCAGGAGGGGTTGCAAAAGGTGTGACAACCCGTGCACTGGCTTAAAAGCCACTAAGGTGAGAGGAACCAGTTGATTGTAGTGTGAATTTTATACAAAAAAAGAACTAAAGCACAATGGAAAATCTTTTTTTAAAATGTCAGGTTTGCAATAAGATATTTGTGTCAAATGACAGGAAATCCCACAAGTCATCGAAGAACTGCACAAATGGGTACATGTTGCCTAACTTGAGTGATTCGATGTCATTTATTCTGATTTCTTAGACCCTGACAGTCCACTCGACAGACATTTGTCAGTTTGAAGTCAAGCACAAGGCTAAGGCCATCTGTGTCCGGGCTAAAGATGCTTTCTGTGACTCACAATGGAGCGAGTGGAGCCATATCAGGTCAGTGCCTCCAAGTGGTGTAAAGGGGGAGATTCAGCTTTCATTCCCCCTCTAAGGTGCTTACCAGTTATCATCAGGTTTTTCCAGCTTTTTTCAGCCACCTGACTCTCATCCTGCCAGAAAACATGTATACTTCCTTAGTAGTTTTAAGTCTCTGCCAAATTGTCTGTTGTCTTTTTTACCTCTTGGTTTCTTTAGGAAATATATTTCAACTGCTTTCTGTGGTGTCTTTTAATTGTCAAAGACTTTATAAAACTGGCATTTGTTTGAGATATTATTTTTATTTTTAAAAAATGTCAAATGCAAGAAAATAATGTTACTATTTATTAATTTTTTTTACTTACGTTATTACTCATTCTGCACTGATTGATTGACTATTTTACATTGTTACCTCATTGACCGCTTCAAGCTAGACCTCAGGAATTCACATGATACAAAGGTTATTTCAGACTGATTTCTATATTTGTTTTCCATTACAGATTGAAGAAACACAAGAAGAACAAAAAGAGCAAACATCAGCAAGACAAATCATGAGCTTCAGGAAAACAAGAATCCCAAACTGGATATCTTTTCAAATGTTATGTTTATTATTTATATGCTTTTAATATTTGTGCCACCTTATATTATGTAGTTTGTAATATGTATCTATTCTTTATACGCAAAGAAATAAAATATTCAACACAATCTCTTTGTTTCCAGCCTAATGAAGGACATCACTACCTCACATTTTTTAAATGGGTTTTTCTTTGTTTCACAGTTACAATCAGCAGCTTCGTCCTTGTCTGAGCCATAACAAGAAGAATTCATTTTTACTCATGTTTAACTTTGTACAAACTTTCTTATAACACCACATTCTCATAATTCTTTAACAAGGCTGTATTGTACAGTCTAAACACCAAACACACATTTGTAGTGAAGAACAGAAACCTCAATAGTTGTTTCTATTTGACCAATAAACAACAGGTTTAAATGTTGTGAGCTGATCAGAGTTTGATGGCTTTCCCCTAACCAGTAAGGTGAGAGTGTGGCTTTTGGTGGAAAAACTCCTCCTCGTACTGCAACAAATAACAGAACCGTCGCTCAGCTTTGAAATGTGTCTGTTGCCTGTTCTCTGAAAGCAGATGCAGCATGCGTGGTATTTCCTCTTTCACATGCCAAGAGACACATGTAGCTTTTGCATTGTGTTCTCCTCTCATCTCTCTCTTGCTCTCTCTGTCTTTCTCCTGAGTACAACTATTGGTTTGTCTCATGTAGCACCAAATTTTTGGACTTATCCTGCGTCTGCTTTACATCATAAAACTCATTTACATTGGATCAGCTGACGAACAACAAAACTTAAAAATCAAGTGTTCATTTCATATGGAGCTTTATCCCTATCTTTATTCAAGAGAGTGGTCTATCAGTTTGAGAGCATTTTTTATTGATTTCATGTTCAAAAACCCTGTCCTCGCACTCAAATAGCCTCTGCTTGCGCTTGGATCTACTGTTTCTGCTCAAACTGTGTGCTCGCACTCAGATACCATGTTGCTCGCACTCAGATACAATGTTGCACGCACTCAGATACAATGTTGCTTGCACAGATTTCCTGCTCGAGCTTCGGCTTTTCTCCTCACACTCAAACTACCCTGGAGGGTGGGAGTGGATGAACCCGGTTAAAGAGTACCCGCCCAGACGGGACGCTCTAATACTAAAGCGAGCACGCCCACAAGGAGGCAGGGATCATTTCATTGGTCAACAGTAAATCTGGCATTCTATTGGTTGGGGGATTTTGACAGGGTTATTACACAAAAAAATCCAAGCGCAGGGCAGAAATCTGAGAGCAGAAATTCCGTGAGCGCACAGAAACAGCGAGCAGAAAAGCCGAAGCTTGAGCAGGAAATCTGTGCAAGCAACGTTGTATCTGAGTGCGAGCAACATTGTATCTGAGTGCGAGCACACAGTTTGAGCGGAAACAGAGTAGATCCAAGCACAAGCAGAGGCTATTTGAGTGCGAGGGCAGGGTTTTTGAACGTGAAATCAATAAATAATGCTCTCAAACTGATAGACCACTCTCTTGAATAAAGATAGGGATAAAGCTCCATATATTTTATAGCATACAACCTAATGTAAAAGGAATAGTCTATTCATGAAAACGTCACTTTGTTTCAAACATCCCTTTGCACAGACTCCCACACACAGTATATTGATAGTTAAGTTCTAACAGGACCTCTAAATCGCAAAAGGGGGCTGATGTGTCTGCTATTAGGGAACATCACTGCCGTAACTTAGCAACTTTCAGTACGTTTTCCCCCTGACAGCAGAGGAAGTGTCTGTGTTACTCAGACTTATTGTAAGGCTGAGTAACACAGCCTTATCATTCTTATTGTAAGGCTGTGTTACTCAGCCTTACAATAAGAATGATTAAGGTTTCACTAACAGCATGATACTATATTAGTCCTGTGCTTGTGATAGTCTTATCTTAGCAGTAACTGTAACAATACAGAAGTATTCGGTTAGTCTAGTGCAGTTGTTCAGAGTATTTTTGGGTTGTGCCCCTTAAGAAATGTCAACAGATGACCCCTCATCACAGGAAGACATAAATTGTGAGCAGTTAAGCTAAAGAATTATTGTATGTTCTTCTTTTTAAGATAGGTAGGTATCTAGTATTATACAAGAAAAAAAGCAAAAATAACAGTAAATCTAGAGCTTTTTTGCGAAACAACAATATTGTTAATTTCATTATTGTTCCCTTCAAATTAACTCTGCCTAGACAGATTACTACATGTACACATCAATGAATCAGAAGTATTAATATATATATATGTGTGTGTGCCTGTGTGTGATAAATTTGGGGACATTTTGGATGAGTACTTATACCATTGATACATTTTTATACATTGTGTTGCTAATACAGTTCTTTTTTATCTTAGTAAATAAGATATTGACTTGGGGAGTTGTAAGACTCATAATGGAGTATTGTGTCATTGTGGTATTGCTACTTCTGTGCAAGTAACAGATCTCAGTACTTCCTCCATCACTGGGTCCTGACATTGAGGTCAGGAATCTCTGGTTCAGAGATTGCACACTTGATTGGGATTGAAATCGAAACTCAAGAAGTGAGAGAATGTGATATATTTCTGTGGATAATGTCAATGTACCAGGCACAAATAAGATGAGAAATGTTGCTGTCTCGTCCAAATTTGTAGGCTTTTGTCAGAAACTTAAAGATCTTCGAAATGATTCACATTTTAAATCGCACTGTGTGCCTTTAAAACAGAATGAGAGCCGTGGAAAGAAACTTTAAGTATAATGCACTACAGTGTTACTCTTTGGTAACTAATCACCCTTCAAAAAACAAAGAAAGAAAGAAAAAGCAGATCCATACACCGGTTTATTTGTTACCAAAATTCCATGTCACATGTGAGAAAAGCCCAAACATCACTCCTACAGAGTAGTAAGCCATTCTTTATTGGTGTGTAACTCAGCTGGTCAGGAGGTTGCGGTGAACCTTCACTTCACTTCCCCATCATAAAAAGCAGAAGAGGTCAAGTGATGTGAACACTTTCGGGGCCAACATACCGTACATGTTTAACCCAACACCCCTGACCTTTTGAGTCTTTTAGTTGTTTGTTTGACACATTTTTGGGAAATGTTTCTACTTTTGTCTTTCCATTTCCCCTGTGTGTCAAAGGGACAAAAAATGTGATCCACTGCTGAAAGTAAAATTTGTAATAATTTAGTACTTCTCTAGTGTGTCCATAACTCTCTATGTTCAAATGCAGATTATGGAGCTAATCATTGTAAGGTTATGTAGCTATATGTTGAGTTCTGATATAAAATAATGGAAATACAGGTATAGGGCTGCAACTAACAATTATTTTCATTACCAATTAATCTGACAGTTGTTTTCCCAACTGATCAATTAAACGTTTTGTCTATAAATTGTAAGAAAATAGTGAAAAATGCCCATTCCAATTTCCCAGAGCCCAACGTCACAATTGTCCAAAACCTAAATATATTTAGTTTACTATCATATATGACCAAAAAAAGCATAAAATCCACACATTTCCACACACACCAGTGAATGTTTGGCATTTTTGCTTAAAATATTACTGAAACAATAATTGACAAAGTAACTACTCGTTGCTCGTAGTTTGACTTTGCTGTATGTTTTAATGGGATGATCTTAATTTAAAAACTATTTCTATGAGCTGCTACGAACAGTGGTCCATATTTCACTACAATGACATTAGCATGTTATGTCTAAAGACAAAGCTTACTATAGATAAAAAGAAAGGATGTGCTTATTGTAAACTGAGACAGAAAAGACAACGAAGATCATCACATGTACATTATGTGTTCTGATGAGACAGCTGTGACATTGGCTCCAGTCTCACTGTAGCTATGTACTGTGTGTTGTGTGTCTCACATGCTCTCACTGGAAATAACCGCAGTATGTCTCTGATTAATAGAGGGTCAAAAGGTACAAAAGAAATCCAAGTGTTTGTTTTGCACAGCCATCAATTCACAGCATATTTAGTGGTCAATGAATTCCTGATGATGCTGCGTTGAAACATATTGAACTTTTTATTTGTTGATTAGAAGGGATAGTTTTGTGGCTGAATCCCTTCTTGCTCTTTTAAGTCTGGAACATAAAACTAGAGAGGAGAGCAAACTTTAATTTAGCATGTACAATGTGTTCAAAAGAGAAAAAAAATCAAAGCTTTGTGATGTTATGTCATGGCACTGCGAAGAAGCAAAACAAGGCATGAGGATATGTTTGTACAAATCTGAGAAATGTGAACATACTTGATGCAAGAAAGGGGTCACTGGTAAGATCTGATCGTTCATGACAGATAAACATACTACTGCTACACAGAACTATGTTCATATTTTTGCAGACTTTCCTTTAATCTAAGCTTTAATAACTTACTTTGTTACTGGATAAATGTCTCTCAGGCCTTTTAAAAACTATTTAATACAGCAAAAGTATTAGTGTATAGATTAGCTGGTCAATAAGCAATAATAATAAGATCTGCTTTGTTTCAGTGGGTTAAAAGGCAAAGAGACTCGGATCACTTCACTATTCCAAAAAATAACTGTCAGTTAAAGTGTATGAAAATGTACTAATTTTTCATTTGAAACAATATATCTTTGTTATAACTGAAGCACATTTGCTATGATCAGGAAAGCCATATTGTAGTCATTTCTAAATTGAACACATAGCTGAATTGTCTAAAGCAAATAAGTAAGATGCCCTCCGCCTTGAATGAGTATTAAATATCTTTTCCTTGCAGAAACTGAAAATGTATACCCTTCATTCAACATCCAAACAAAGACATGTATTCATTCAGAACAAGAACAACCACATTAGGAAAGTTTGTGAAGATCTGTTAAATCCCTCTTAACCAGTAGTGTAATAGTAGCTGATGAGTTGGGTGTACTGCTGGGTAGATGGGTCGGTTACCAAGGAGGAGTGGGTATACTCTCCCACATGTCACAATGCTTTAAGTCACTAATAATGAGGAAAAAAAATAGGGAGTGCTGCACTGGGTTAAGACACTGTAGTTAGTTATTAAAAAAAATCAGCTGCTCTTCAAGAATGGGGCAAATAGTCATATAAAGATGAAGGAAAAAAAAAAAAAAAAAAGGATGCAATGACTGGCCGGTTCACTCGGTGTATTGTAGAAGTCCA